AAGAGAAGGCTAAGCCAGGCATGGGGTGCCTGTCACATTCCAGCATTTGGGAGCCTGAGACAGAAGCAGCACCTCAAGTTCGAGGCCAACCTAGATGACATAATGAGTTCAAGACCAGCTTGAACCACATAGTGTAGGAACAGGGTCCTGTATATGAAAAAATAAAATAGGTGCCTCCTTAGGTCTTCTAGTTAATCCTGATTAGAAGGAGTTAAAAATCAAACCCTACTAGAGAGATTCCTTGGGGAAACAAGTCAATGACAGGGGTAGAAAAAAAACAGATAAAGAAAGGCATCAAATGGCCTTCTGACTTGCACCAAGAGACCAGAAAAAGAGCTGACAGGCAGGACACAAAGAGAAATCCAGGTCCAAAACGATGTCACCTCCACCTTCAATAAAATATAGAGAAGCGAGGAGGTAACTTTAAGACAGTGTGTACTCACATCTATGCACTAACATATACATTTACATACATGTATATTCACTCTAGAGTCACTATATTATTCATTCGGGTCATTATAGAGTACAATAGATCTCCACATGCCCCATTCCTAACTCTAAGCCAACCAAGAACAAGGCACCCCCTTGCCAACTAGCTGTCCACCCCAAAGATAAGGCCTTATGGGCTAGGGATTTAGCTCAGTGCTTCTGCCGCCTGCTCGAAAGTGCAAGGACCCGAGTTCGATCCCCGGTACCAAAAAAAAAACCAAAACAAACCCAAAGATAAGGCCTTAAAAGATAAGTCAAAGGACCGGGGATTTAGCTCAATGGTTCTGCTGCCTGCCTCTCAAGCGCAAGGTCCTGAGTTCGATTCCCGGAACAACAAAAAGATACGTCAAGCACAAGTAAACAGAAAAAAGCTGCACATAGACCACCAGAAGAAATGACATTAGGCAGAGGTGCCCAGAACCCAATTCAGTTATAGCAAGTTCCAGGTAGAAGAAAGAGTCACTCACCCCCGCCCCTTATAAAAACAACTAAAAACAAAGAGCCTGTGGGTCTTCCATCTTTCTAGAGCCTCCTACCCCTGATTCTTATCAGGGTAGCTTTCTATCTTCTCCTTTCTCCTTTTCCTCTTTACAAATAAAGTGTCTTAGTTTCTTCAAATAAATGACAATGACAACACAACATATCGGAATCTATGGAACGCAATGAAAGCAGTCTTATGAGGGAAATTCATAGCAGTGAATGATCATATTAGGAAAACAGAGTGAGCCCAATTAACCTGATGCTGAACCTCAAGCTTCTAGAATGAGAAGAGGAGGACAAGCCCAAAGCTCATACAAGGGAGGAAATTATAAAGATCAGGGCAGAAATCAATGCAATGGAGACTAAGAGAATGATACAAAGAAATCAATGAAGCCAAGAGTTGGTTCTTCAAAAGAATCAACAAAATTGACAAACTCTTAGCCAACCTTATCAGAAAAAGGAAAGAAAAGGCCCAA